CATTTCTTGAATTTCCTGGGGCATCATGGCATGTACATTTTGGGTTTTGGTTTCGTAGTTAGGTCGTCTGTGGGTTGGTCTTGCCGATCACGGTGTTGTCGTCTGGTGATTACTTGGGCAGCTATTTGGGTAGGGGCGATGATGGCATTTACGACCTCCTCCCATTCGCATTTGTACTGGGGCATGCGGGAGAGGGCGTCAGCCAGAAAGTTCCTCCCCCTGGGGTGTGACATATAGATACATATACACATATATATGTCTTGTGAGTTCTACTACTGCCTTAGGCATGAAAGCTGGGTGAAATTAGGTACATTGAGTTATCTTTAACAATCTAATAAGTAAAAAAGCATAATTCATTTTATTTTTCAGTAGGTTTTTATTTCTTTAACACAGCAATACATATACTTCCACTGACCTCGTTTTACACAAAACACCCCAACAAAATACCATAATGATATTTCATTTTGTGTGCATTTATATAAACCCCTTGGCTTAATTAAGAGCCTTATATTACTTTCCCCAGACCCGTAGTAATAAAAAGAACTATTTTCCTAACCAGAAAAAAAAAAAGACAGCCATATTCATCATAAGTAAAAATTAATATATCTGATTCTCTTCATAATGCACAACAGCTTTTCAATTTTAAAAAAACTGGTTTCATTGCGATTTGATTCTTTGGATTAATGTGATTTTTGCATCTGAGCTTGATTTTCTGGGCCTTTTTTTTATCCAAATAGTGCAAAAATTTGTTTTTAGAGAGCAGAAGATAAAATTTTGTATTAGATGAATTTTACCAAGTTACCAAGCTGATAGGGGCAGTGCTTTGCTTTTAACTAAAGAAGTGATCCTCCTCAATTCATAAATTACCTTTATTTACAAATGTTGCCTTCCCTTCCTTCGAACAAGCTCATGAACACAGTGAAACCAAACAGCTGTGACTCAATTTAGAAAATTATTAAGGGAGTCCTTGCTGCGTGTGGAGGAAGCTTTTCGAGACTTTAAAAAGGCAAAAACCGGTTATTTTCTAGAGCAACAGCACCATGAAGTTTTAATCATGGTTCCAACTGTGAATAAATGTGCATGTGGCAGAAATTCTTAGATTAGCACCAATTGGCAAAGAATTCGATTTCCAGCCTATCTCAAAACGAAACCAAAGCTCATCGCAAGCAGAAAAGGAAAGGCAGCTACCGTTGAAAAATTAACATTTCAGGAAACACAAGACTTGATGAGATAAAATGTTGGAAGTCTTTATCCAAGAGAATATACTACATTCCCAAGAACTGAATGGATGAGGTTCCGCTGAACAGATCCACTGATAACCGCTAATATCGGTGCTATTTTTCTGACTGCATGCCAAAAACCTAACTTGAGCAAAAAAAAAAAACCTTTGGATCAGCAATTCCAATGTTGAGGTTTACACTATCTCTACAGCACCAGCCCATAATCCAGACAGTAAATTCCAAATCTTTGCACCTCCAGGCAGAGAGAAAAAAAAGAAATGAAAAATGAAAACATCTGAAAGTGATATTGGAACAAGAAAAGAGAGGGAGAGAAGCGGGTGCTGGCCAAGATTTTCAATCCAAATTGGACAAGTCTGATCATTAAAAAAAACAACCCACCATAAAAAAAGACATGCTTTATCTTGTTTTAAAAAAAGTATAAACATTCAATAGGTTACATCGTAAACGGTCATTCAAAGGCAAGATTTCATATTTGAATTTAATACTGTAAAATAGCGTGGATTGGCTACAATTCCTCGTCATTAAAAGATTTTAAAAATTGCAATCCAGGGGGATTGGCATGTCTTGGTCTCCAGATTTTCAGTTGCAACCACTAACCATTTAAAATGTTATTTAAAAAACTCTTATTTTATAAAAGGGAACAGGACAATTTTCACACTGCAGGTTCAGAGAAATTTTTAGTGGTTTCGCTCTCTATGTCAGAGAGCAATTTTGCAAGATGAACTGGCTTCTCCAGAATCCAGCTGGGTTTTTAGGCTTTAAAACACATCACAGTATAAAAATGTCTGGCCCATTATGTACTCAATACATTTGTTTTTTCTTTTACATAAAAACTGCATTTAAAAAAAACCGTACAAGATTTTCAACACGTGGCTGATTCGAAAAGGAAAACAAAAAATATATTTGTCATCTTGGCAATGGATGCTAATTTCAGAGGTTTGCAGAGGGTTATTTCCCCCTTTTTTTGCATTACTGGAGTAAAAAGAAAATTACAAGGGTACACTATGGCACATTGTACACACCAAAACATTATGCTGCAGAGTCTTATGGCAAAAATTGCTCCCCCGGGGGGGGGGGGGAGGAACAGGGTTAGGGTATCCTTTCTTCCCGTCTCATCAATTTATCAGAACTTGGATGACAGACTTCTTACGGTCAACTCCGCTCTCCACCATCAATTCTTGCAAACAGAAGCAAAAAACAAAACCAAATGACTTCACACGAGGTGCAGTGTCCATCTCACAGCAGCAGGGCTCCAAATAGGTCCCCCAGCTGGCCCTGTCACACATTCGAGTCCTCGTCTGTGATACTGACACTGGGAGAACCAGTGGCCAAATCTCTGAACATGTCGTCCTCCTTCAGCATGTGCTGGACAGAAAAAGAGTGGAAGAATTAATTGGCTGGGGATCAGACAAAACGCCATAGCAAGGAAGGAAGGACTGGGAGGGAGGGAGGGAAAGAGAGAGAAAATGAAAGAGAAACAAGAAAAGAAAGAAAGAAAGAAAGAAAGAAAGAAAGAAAGAAAGAAA